TTTTCAGTTTAGGAGGTGTTGAAGCAGACAGGAACCAATATCAATACTGAAAGAACAAACCGACATAGTTCTTTTAGTGCTATTCAAGGGTCATGTTAAGTTAGATAAATATGAAGCTATTAGATGTATATTATAATATATATATATATATATATAATATTTTCAGTTTAGGAGGTGTTGAAGCAGACAGGAACCAATATCAATACTGAAAGAACAAACCGACATAGTTCTTTTAGTGCTATTCAAGGGTCATGTTAAGTTAGATAAATATGAAGCTATTAGATGTATATTATAAATCATAACCAAAGAAAAACTAGATTTCAGCAAGAACACCTGCAGAATGTTGGTTAAATGTGTCCATATCTTCTTTTCTTGCAAGAAATCCATACAGCTGTCGTTGTCCACCATGATAGAATGGCATTCTATAACGTTCCCAGGCATCCCTATCTCTTCCTTCATCCACAAACTGCTTGTGTAATCTCTCAGCCTCCATATAACCCGTTGCAGACTGCTCAAATATTAGGACACTCATTCCTCGATGACCATTAGGACCATATGAATGGCGAGCTCTTAGGACCGTGTAGTCACTAAAATAATCAACAAGCTCTTGATTGCCCATGCCAATCCACTGTAGTTATGGCAAACCAAAGTACACAATGATAATTAAAAAGTCATAAACATGAATACAAAAACTATATACCAAGTACAAAGTTTTCAATGTATGTAGTGAAAGAATAACATAAAAAATAAAGCAATTAGAGCTCTTTTTTTTTCTTGCATTATCAGAAAAGAATTAATAACATCAAGGAAGCCAATTATTATGGCTTATTGCTATACCAATCAGGACAGGTATACAATTAGTCGATGTTTTAATGCCATGTATAACAAGACAATCCATTTCAATTTAAGCAAATGTCCATCAACAAGATATCTAATCAGCATATAGAAACAATTGGATATGAATGGTTTTAACATAGAAATTACAAGGATTTCCTAACAGCTTAGCTTAGATTATCCTTGTACCCTAATCTCAAACATAATCTGTAATCCGACTCATTTCATGCTTCAAAACTGCTCAAAGCAAAAATTCCAAGTTACAAGTTCATCACAAGCCCTATGCTGCAAGTTAATAACATATATGCGAAACAATACTACAATCTCTTCAATATAGGAAATCTTGCATGCTACTAAAATTAATCTTTTGTTAATTCAAGATTATACATTCCTCCTCATTAGAAGCCACTAAATTAGCATACCAACCATGCCTTGAGTAAATTATATCCATTGCTAGGTAGACTGGAAAAGGTAATTGTATTTCATAGATTATGGATACGTCTCCAAAGCATCTAAAAAGTTAGTTATAAGCTTATAGAGATCACCATGCCCATAGTCTCCAGTGCTAGGGAGTCTGCAAAGGGTAAATGTAGTTCATGGATTTACGGATACATCTTACAATTAACAAAGCATCTATAAAGTTGGTTATAGTCTTATAGAGATCACCATGCCTATAGGCAGTTAGTCTAGAAGTGGTGCTCCCAAACATAATTTTGCCTTACATCATATTAGAATAGTAGTTATATTTGAAGTTTTTCTAATACTTCCTTTTGAACTTAATTATTACTGTCACTCTTAACCAGGTTGAATGGAAATATTAAATCTTCTTCTACATGAGAGAATAACATCGGCATTACTCTTTGACCTCACATGTTCAATGTTCTCTTAGATGATATCATAGCACTGGTACTCTTCCTTGACTAGCAACGTTCAATTTCTAATAAGGTGTAGACAGGAGAGCAAGGGGATGATGATCAAGAACTGTTCTCTAATCCTTACATAAATGCGGAATTTTGCTTTGTTTACACCATAATAAATCTGATCCAGGATTTCTTTCTTTCTTTCTTTCTTCTTTTTTTTTTTTTTTTGCTATAAAATTGAAAAGCATATGGTCTGACTCACTAAGCCTTTGGACAAGAAGGTGGAGGTGGAGGTGGAGGTGGAGGGTGAGGGGTGGAAGATGCAAGCATACCATCCGGATTTCTAAATGAAACAAACTCTTCAGATTGACAAAACTAGTACCTCTGTTTGCACTATAAAACACTAAAATTACAGGCCCACAGAAGCAAACAACTTAAAGGTTATTTTTTCTTATGCTGTCACTGTTCCTCTCTTTAATCTGTATATTGTCTATATTTCTAGCTTCTTAAGAAGAGAACAAATCTAGGGCTCTGGCAGTGTCATGAAAAAGGATTCTCAGCCTGTGGAGTAAACGCAAGTACATCAATCTTTAATTGATTTCTGAGAAAAATAATTCAACGTTCAATTTATGCACATGACCATAGCACTATTGACATTACCAATCTTTTATTTTGCACCCTTATGCTGCAATAACTTTATACTATCAGAAAAAGGTAAGCAATTTTGACATGCACGTTTCTGAAGAGTTGGCACTTGGTCTAAAGAGTCAAAATTTGTCTTAATAGCCAATACAACATGCTCAATAGGTTTTAACAGGAGATATTTCAAACTTCATGGAAGGAACAAAAAATTAAAAAAGAAAAAGAAAACCTAATCAGGGATGTATATGAATAACCATCATTTTATACTTCAACACAATAATGATTCTTCATTCTGAAAAATGAAAAATGGCTATCCACCGGTTTAGACTTGTACAAGATAAAATGCTTCTTCTTTCTGACAAAAGAAATATTTCTACAGTACTGTTACAGGTTGCCAGGAAGTTCCAAGGTTTCAGACATGCTTCATGAAGCAAATGACAGAGTAGACATCGAACAATAAAATAGATATCTCAATAAACATATGTGTGCCGAAAGAAAAATAATGATCTAAATGTGCAAGACAGTAGAACTTCAGCTACATGATGTTCATTACAAATCAACATGCAAAAGATGACGTGGTCAAGTGAAAATTGAACGAAGGCTAAAGTTCAGAGAAAACTACGTAATCTAAGAAACAATGTACCTTATCATTATCATCTTTTTCAAGTAATGTGTTCATAATAACAACCATAGGCGGCCAGACTATTTCATGATCAGCTGTTGTCTTGCATAGACCCTTCCATTTACCAAATACTTCACCCACTGGTACGCCTGACATTCCTCTCCTTCCAAATTCCTCCTCTAAAAGTACGGCAAGCTCCCTGTGAAGCTTTACCCTTCGGGCTCCTCTTGTCTTTGCATGTGCTAACAGAGGTTGGAGACCTCTGTACCAATCAATAGCTCCTGGACCATCATGGCAAGCTGGGCAGTGCCAGCGCCTATTTGGATCAGTTATCTCCTCCACCTTGAGTCCGTCCATTTCTTCAAAAAGTTTTCTAAACCATTTATTCCTTTTTCGCGTTTCATGACTCTTCTCACTTGCATCAGAGTCAATGTCATCACTCAGATCAGAATCGCTATCATCCATCAAAGAATCATCATCATCTTCATCATCATTTGAGACATCATCTGGTTTCTCATTTACCATGGCGTACTCAGGATCATATGCACTTTCTTCGTGGGTCTTGAGATGAGTTAAGGAGCCACCTCTAGTTGCCCATTTCCATCCATCGTGTAGTGGTGGAGGTACGGGACGAGGTGACGCTGTGTAGGCTGCTTCCCATCCCCTACTTGATTGCTGGGTCTTGGGGTCTCCTCTACCAGCCGGCTTACGAGAATCAACTGCAGGAGCACAGTTACTCCTAGGTTTCCTTTCGCTTCCACTACTATTACCCCAACTACCCCAGCCTTTTGTTTGTATCCCCTCCAAATGACCCCAAGCATTATGAGTGACGGTTGAAGATCCCCATGGTTCTGCATTAGAAACAGCTTGGTTCTTGGATTTCCTAGCAACTACTTCCCAGCCCTCTTCTGTAGAATCTATATGGGTATCTGCCACTTTCCGATTCAACTGATCAAGGCTTAAGCTGCTCCCACCAGTATCAGATCCTTCATTAACTATACCTCCAACTGACTGATTACCATTCCCCGCTTCAGAAGAGGAAGCAGAAGATGCACTCCTGCTGCTGCCACTGCTGTCACTCATTTGCGTCGGAAACCGAACTCACTTGTCCTGTAATCATGGTTAAAAATAACTTGAATGCTCTAGCCTGAATAGTAACCATCGGTGAGGAAATACACAATTGGACACAAACTTTAGTATCAGACAACACTAAAACCTGAAAGTTCAGGAATTGTCAATAAGAGAGCTGGAAGAAAAGATACGATATGGAACACAATCAGAAAGGAGAACCCTCTACTACTCAAGTGCTAATTTTATGGAAAGTTCAGGAATTGTCAATAAGAGAGCTGGAAGAAAAGATACGATATGGAACACAATCAGAAAGGAGAACCATCTACTACTCAAGTAATAATTTTATGGTAATGCAATCTTCATACAGCTGGTGTATAAGAAACATTTTTCTAGAGGAAGAGAATGTTCCACTCCACTTGCTAAAAATAGCAAGGATCACATATGCAAAACCATTATTCTTATACACACATTTTTCCATAATCCAAAAAGCTGCAAGTGTAGTCTCTGAAAACAGGAGAACTCAAATAAATGTCTACAAAATCATATATGCCAGCACAAAAAACAATAGAATTAACTATAAACTAGTAAAATTCCTGTCATACTATTTCACCACAGATAATAATAATAATAATACCTTTCCTTAACCATGCACGTAGCCTTTAGAAGAACAAAATGTAAGAAACCAAAACCAAAATACAAGGAAAGGAAGAGATAAATGGTTTTATAGATATACGAAGAAAACTCATAAAGAGCTTTAGCAATACCAAATAAAGAATAAGTGCAGCCAAAATTTTAGAAGAGTTAAATATCCATTCAGCTAATATCTAAGGGGGAAAAGGCTCTAACAATGCCAAGAAAAATATGGAGTAATCAAAACTTTAAAAGCACAAACAATTAAGCAAAGTACTAACATCTTATCAGAGGGAAGGAGGGGAACAGGTGAGAGAGCAACAGACACAGCATTATAAAAAACTAAATTTTAAGAGAGAGGAGGAACTAGGGAGCAACAATTGACAGTAACTGCACTTTTAAGAGAGGGAGAGGAAGTATCCCACAAGCTAGGATATTAGCATCCCACATGACTCAGATTGCACAAAGCATTGCAGGGTAAGTAGTAGTAGGGGAAAGCTGGATTAAGTTCAGAAAATGACAGAGTAAAGAACACTTCATTAGAGTATATTGGTATTTGAAATTCTATATGTCACAATATATAAACTAAGTCCGAACCACTGAGCACCCAAAAAAAAGAAACATGAGGGAATGAGTCCAAATTTGAACTAGAATTTAAAACCTTGCAAGAAAAGCTAGTACATGATGCAAGATTATCTTGCGTAGAAGAGTGCAAAATACCTCCATTTATTTCCAATACATAACCACATCCACAAATCTTGCGATAGCCATAAAGCCACCGCATTTAGCATATAGTTTCTAGTTCCTCTACAACTTTCTGTTTTAGGTGTATCACAATAAAACTACCACAAGCAGAAAGATCTGGTCTTAAGGCTCAACCTTTTCAAACATTAGTGTTGGCAGCAACTAAGAAGATAAATAAACAAAACTTATTTCCCTTCCTTGCTTGAATTTACCCCCACAATAACTGCAAGTGGCTAAATAAATTACCAAGTGCTTTGATGCTTCCAAAGTAAAAATTCAAAGCTCGAACAGCTGCTAAGAGTTTCACTTTGATGGAAGACATCATGTATGATAAGACTCTAAATAAGGAGCAGACACTTGCAGCTATTCCATGATTGTAGTTGTTGTTTTCAGTAGTAAATGGATGTAAAAAGCACTTAGTATAATTGCAGATGTATCTTCTTTGGAAGGTGTCTATCACCTAAGCAACATAGGCTACAACAGGTCCTTTATTATTGATATGTTTATTTCCGCAACTCGGTCTTAACATTGATGTCTCAGAGCTGGCTTCACCTAAAGTGTATGTCAACAACATGACCTGTTAATAAAAATCTAAGGGCTGTTACTCTGCTCCATAGAAATTATGTATTATCTATGTAAACCATAAACAAGTCAAAAGGGTGAACATATTAATTTATGGGTTCCACAAACATGTTCCAGTGCGATGATAATGATTACAGATTACAAGCTTCTCAATTACAAATTCTCACTTTATCAAATTTTTATCTCCATGATGATTTATTGTAGAAGTAACTCCCACAAAAGCTGTGACATGTTGACATTCTTTTTCTAGCTCTATTAGGCTTCTATTTTTTTCAGTTATTCAGGTATATTTTGCCAATAGTCACCAAATATATATAACTAACAAATCGATTGTGCCTCATTCACTGGTTACATCAACATCGATATAAATTCATAGGGAACAATTCTTATGTTCTGTTCAGTATCCTCAACAAAAAGTTGCTTTGTTTTCACCAACAACTTAAAGTCCGCAGCAAGGGATTATTAAATGCCTAATTGACTTATTTCTACATTTTCAGTTCACCTCTGATAAGACCTACCTGATGGCTTGTTATAAAAAATTTATGCTCTATCATAATGATGCAAACTCCCTATGGAACTATAAGAAAAATAAGTTGACAGGTAGACTATCAATATAAAGTTCACTCATTTTTTAAATGGAAAGAAAAATTATATATTCTTCTCATGTGCACCAATGAATCCATACGCTTATAAGACTCATCCCTGTGAATTAGAGATATGGATCAAACTTCTACCGTTCTAGAGGTCAAAATTATTTGAAAAATTAGCAATAAGATTGTAGAGCACAATATTTGGAGAATGAAAGTTCAAGAATTTGCTTTGTTTTAAAAGAAAAGATTATGAATGCATGTCCTTGCTAAAGGTTTATCAAAAAGATAAAATTAAATAGTAAAAACAATCAAAATTTATTTCCAATCCTTGTGCTTTAGAAACATAATAATAGAAGAATCTGAAAACAAATTAACTCTAGAAGAATAAAAAGTCTGGTTGTTATAATTATGCAATTGATAACATAATATAGATCAGCTGCTTCCTAGTTCCTAATATGTTTCTTTGGTTCATTTCCCGATTGAAAGAAGCAATAAGCATTAGTACACCATAATCCCTAGTTATTTATTGGAAAAATCAAAGCACTCTAGTGCAAAATCTGCATAAGTGATTGCCCAATAATGATAGATCTTCAAAGGCCACTTGTATTGCAGCATATCAGGATAAACATGTATATTTCGATAAAAGAATTTAAATGAATATTGTCAGTAACAAACTAAAAGCAACATTTTAGGGTGTACAATAAAGAGCTAACAAAGGGAAATAACATACCAAAAGCTTGCTCAATGAAAACCCCACGAGATCTACAATCAACTTTTATAGAAATCATGTATCCGAATAATCAACTACACAAGGCCCTCGTCGTATCATTCCTACGAGGTTAATGAAACATCCAAAGCAAAGACAGAAGTGTGTCGAAACAAAAAGCAAAAATAAAAAGAAAGAAAGAATAAAAAATCTAACAAAAGAAAATCTACCAATTTGTTTGTATAAAATATGTTCTTTGAAGTTTCAGAGAAACAAGGAAAACAATAACAGCTGACCATATATTTATTTTATAACTACCGTAGGAATTTTTTGGCCTAATGTTGTTCACATTATCATGACCCTAAATTAGCTCTCCTGCAGTTTCCCTTATCAATCAACGCATAGGGTTGACTCCAAATGTTCGTGGAATATCTTATTTATATTGCTCCACCTTAAATGATCGAAGTTAATTGTTTGAAGTACAACTCCCCCTTGATTATCTGTTTGGGAAAAGTATGAAAGAGTTTCTTCTGATTTTTAGGAGCCTTTCCCCTATTTTCCTATTTGCATAGCACTCTTGACTCATCAGATAGAAGCATCTTTGACATGAAAGAAGATTATAGTTGGAATTTCTTAAATCCTCAAAGTTTAATGCTCATTTCTTTTCCGATGAATGTACTTCTCGAAGCAAAGTTAGAGTAAGGGGTGTTTGGTTCAATTTCTACAAATTATAGGAAATGTTTTCCATCCAAAATATGATTTCCTTGTATTTATTAAAAAAGTTATAGGAAAAGTTTTGAGAAGTCAAAAAGTATCAATTTTCTTATTTTTTGAACTTTGCTTGTTTGGTTCGAAACAAGAAAATGGCCCATAACTTCATAGAAAATAGCAAGATTTCCTATTATTTGTAGAAATTGAACCAAACACCCCTTAAACTTATAGAGAAGTGCCAACTTTATAGAAAAATGTCAATGTGGTGTCAAATTTCTGGGTGATTTCTGCCCATTTTGAGAGGAAATTGATTTCTGTAAATTTTGGTACTTTTCTGTACTTTGCAGAAAACATTTCTGTAATTTTTTTTGAACCAAACACAATTTACGGAAATCTATAGAAAATTTTTAATTACAGAATTGTCATTGTCAGACATTTTGAGAAAACTTTTCTATAAAATTGTGCAACCAAACACCCCCTAAAAGAAAGGTCCTACGAATAAAATTCACTTTTACTCATTACTTTACATGTAAGAAATTAGTTCAGGGGTTTCGGGCAGACCCTTGACCTGAATATTTATACTATATCCATAGCTTGTTTAAAATCTGATGAAATTGTAAAGGAAGCTAACAATCTAGATCTGGTAATCCAGGTATAGGACAAGCTCATTCTAGATAGGTGGCCAAGGAAGAACCAGAAAGCGAAGCACTTGAGAGTTTACTAAGATATGATTTATATAGTCGGGTACTAAAAAAACAAGCCATAACAAAGTGCAAATTATTAGATATTATGAAAGTATAAAACATTAGAAAGAGATAATTGCACTTCTATGAATCAAGATTAATGCTAACTGTATCACAAATTCAATATTCTTCTTTTGTACAAGACACAAAATGATAGATACTTGCTCGAGGATTTTTATCAGAAATGACACCCTCTATGATCCAACATTTTTGTGTCTTGCAATGCAAAACCAAAGCAGTAGTGTTTGTAGTTCAGTTCGCATTACCCATGAATCAATCAATAATGCGCACGGTTCAGTTCGCGTTACCGATGAATCAATCAACAATGTGCACATAGCAAAAAATCTGTTCGAATGCAAGGCTGTTTAAATTTTAATTTGGCTACCAATCATATCTATAGAAACTACTACACACATGTATATATCCGGAACTAGATATTGTCATCAAACGTACTTTTTACAAACTCTAGAAATATCTAGAAATATTAGTGAAGCTAGTTAACGCCCACAAGCCATAAAAATTACAACAAACAAATAAACAATAAATCATATTTGTATTTGACATTTATACTGCAACAAGCTAACCCCTAATTATTCAAAAAGAACAATCCCATCAGAGATAACAAAGATGTGAATAAAAAATGACGGACATTACTTAGGAAAATAAAGCTTCTAATAAACTTTCTATGAAAAATAGGAACAAAAATAATTGAAAAATCGTCTAAAAATCAATTGAGCAGGAGTCTCACTGGAGATTAAACCGCTCTCCAAACACCCACTCAGAATACACCAAGAAAAGGAAAATAAAAAGGAAAATAAAAATAAAAAAATATCAAAAAGAAATTTCTATGAAATTCAAACAGGCACGAACAACGAAGAGAAATTTTAGGACAACTTCAGAGGTCAAAGAAAAAACCCAATGGCAAAATTTTCATCAGAGGAAGAAAATAACTACAAAAAATCCAAAGAAATACAAAAACAGAACAAAAAAAAAAGTAAAAACAGGCAAAACAATCAAGAAACAGAGTAAACCCAGGTCTCAAAAACCAAAACGCCGCTCGAAATCGAGCACGGGTTACAAAACCCTCGAATCTAAAGCAAACAAACAACCAAGAACAAAACAGGAATCGACGAAACTCGAAGCTCGAAAGCCGAGTTCACTCTCATCGAAGAACTAAAAGCCCTGCATTATGCACACAACTCGAGAAACTCAAGGAAAACAAGAAAAAGAAAAATAGAGCTAAGCGAAACAAGAACATCAAAGAGGCGGTTGATCGATGGAATCTCACCGGAAAATACTCTCCGCCGGCGATCAGTCGCCGGAGAATGGCGGAGCAAATTAGTGATTTTCTTCTTCTTCTTCTTTTTGTCTCTCTTTTCCCCCCCTGCGATATCGGAGGGTGAAAATGGCAGGGGGGTTTAAATAGAAGGGGGAAGAAATAGTGGAAGGTCCCTCGTTTCGGGCGTCAGATCAATTATTATATATATAAGCTATTTTCTTTTTTTTTTAATGTCAGTGAAATGCTTCGCTTCTTTCTTTTATGGGAAAAATGTGTCCAGGCCCCAAAAGTGGGAACTTCGTGTGACTAGCCCCCCTGTACTTTGCAGAGAGAGATGGTCGTAAGGGGCGGGGAGATGGCAGGAGGGGTTGAAGTGTTCTGGATCAGATGGTGAAGGTGTTAGTTCTAATCCGGCACAGTGTGGTGAGGTAGTCTGAGGATCGTGCCGCAGTGTTAGTTGCTATTCTGTAGAGTGTGTAGTTCTAATCTGGCACAGTGCTTAGTTCATTCTGTAAGGCGTGTTAGTTCTAATAATCTGCTGCCACAGTGTGGTATGTTCTATTTCTGTAGAGTGTTAGTTGCTACACCCCTACAGTGTTAGTCTATTCGGTAGCGTGTTAGTTCTAATAATATGCACAGTGTTAGTTCTAATCTGTAGTGTGTTTAGTGTTCGTGCAGTTCTAACTGATGGCTTGTTAGTTGCTAATTTTATACCTACATTGTCTAAATTTATACCACGTTAATTTATACCCACGTTATATCTAATTATAGAACAATTAGCGACCTAACAATATGGAACTATAGTGGGAAGCCAGCAATAAGCTCTAGTAGAACTAACAAATAGGCGATTAGAACTGACAAATAAAACATTAAGAACTGCTAGTATGGACGCATAACAAAAGAAACTGGCTTAAATGACAATAAAACATTAGAACTGAATGTCCAGGTTAAAGCGCGTAGTTATAGAACTAACACAGAAGACGATTAGAACTTACAGTGTAATGATTTACCAGTTAAGCCCTACATGTCTTGTCGGAGCTTGCTCGTTTCCCTGTTTGATCGAAAGAATTCATGCCCGCTTCTTTAAAAGCTTGCACGTGAAACCTCTTTCAGTCCTAAGATTGTGGGCAAGTGCTGCCACATTATGACGTCAGAGTGCACCATGCGTTCCTCATGAGAAATGTTTAAGCTTCCACTGTTTGGATCTTCGTATGGCCCTAAAATTAATGATCTCGTAATGGAAGATCTAACCCTCATCTGGCACGCACTCAAAACAATGTGTATGAAAGAATCCCAAGAGTGGTGGTTGAAGAATTAATCTTCAAGAATACCGCTTTATACTGCGAAAAGAACAATGCATATGATGTCCTTTTCAGGCCAATTTTGGAATTCTGAGAGGAGGAGTAATGGAGAACTAACTAGTTTTTGCTGCATGGATGGAGAGAGTTAATGGAGAGAATTTTGGTCTGAGGAGGAGGAGTGAATGGAGAACTAACTAGTAGATGGAGTAAAAAAAGGGGGAAATTTCCCGTCGCATTTCCACATCATATCGCCATAATGAGAAGTGACTTCGCAGGACTCGCGTCTGGAGGAAGAAAGAGAAGGGCAGTTATTCGGTTTTTTTTGTAAAATACCATCTGCTTTTAAGTATAAAGCTGACGTGGAGGGGCTATAAACATTAAAGCCCATTTTTTGGGGCTATTCCAGCATGGG